AAAAAATCAAAAAGAAATAAACAGGTTTCCAAGCTTTAAGCAGCAGTAGAGTACTCAAGGTCACTGTCCTGGGCTTTATGTCAAAAGACTTCAAGTAGACAAAACAAAGTCCAGACTTATCAAGTATAACTTATGAGAAAATTTCTTAAGATTTATAACACCAAATTATAATATTCTTGAAGTATATTTTAAATGTATTTGAATGAGAAGTTAATGTCCAATTAATCTTTAAATTATTTTCTTTGCATCAGCTATCCCTCTCTCCAGATTTTCTGCCGCTTTATGATTGCTGAGATTGATAGCAGGATCTTTTTTCTGTATATAGGAATTGTCTTCTCCAGGGGTAATCATAAGCAATTAGTTGTAAAAATATATCTCACCCGATAGTAACACTGATGCCAGATAGCCGATTATTGCTTCTCTTAGCCGGCTGCTGATGACTTGCAAGCAAGCTTCCAAGCTGCTTGTTTCTGCCCGTTGGCTGATTAGGGAGTTTCCTGGATCAAATGGGGATGACTGCCATCCCCCCATGATCAACAGGCTCCCCCCCCCAGTTCTCCACCTCTTCGGGGTGGTTTCGACACCTTGGGGTGTCCCAAACAGGTCAGAATTCAGTCCAGGGGACAGAGCTCTGTCCTCCTGCTGCTGTCTCGTTGCGGCGTCAAGCCAGAAGTCTCTGCCATGGACACAAATTTGATGAGGTTTTGGAAATCTTTGATTGCCCATCAATTTCTTTTAACTCCTTTTAAAACTGGGCAAGAATAATTGTGCAAGGGTAGGTGAGTTCATCTTTTTTCAGGTGCCATCATCCCAATCTAAATCACGTAGATTTAAAAATGGTTGTTGGCTTATTTGTGAAAATATATGGGATCTCTACATCATTGTGTTATTTCCAACATCTTGTCTAGTGCCAATGATTTTTGAGTTGTAATCTGCAGAAGATCACTGATTTTTCAACGCTTCCTCTCACCCACGAAAGGTAGTGGGTGTTCTTACAGTCCACAAAGAAACAGTTTGTGTTTGTGATGTATTATGGTGAGTGAGGTCAGCTGTATTTATGAAAAGTGATCAAGAGGTGTGGAATGCCTGGTTGAAAGTAGGTCTAGTGATTGATTGAGACAGAGAGGGAAAGGCTATTTGAATGAGGCCATGAGATGATGTACTAGAGCAGTGGTTCCCAACCTTGAGTAACTGAGATGTTCTTGGACTGCAACCCCTCAGAAGCCTTTACCAATTGCTGTGTTAGCTGAGGTTTCTGGGAGTTGCAGTCCAAGAACACCTCAGTTACCTATGGTAAGAAACCACTGTGCTGGAGAAAATTAGCAGGTAAAGAATGATGTATTGATGAGGACCATTAAACCCTATTTTATTCAGGCAATCAATAAGTTTGTGTATTCCATAAAGGAAAAGAAGAAACAGCAGCGGCTATTTGTGAAGGCTCTGCATGTCAGCCAAAATGTTTCCTGTTCCCGCTAACTTTAGAGCCTAAACAGATACAGCAATCCCTTCCTCTTCAAGTTACTGTATTACTTTTCCATGTTGAAAGCAATAATGCAGCGGCAGGACTAGCACACTCCTCTGATTGGCTGTGGGCTACACACACATACAAAATGCCTAAAAAGAGGTTTAGAGATAGTTTCTGAGTTTATAGAAGAGAGTGAAGGCAGATGAGATCCACGGCATGTGAGAGAAGATGAGAGAGAGAGAGAGAGAGAGAGAGAGAGAGAGAGATTGTGAGGGGAAATATTGCATTCATGAGGTTAAGGCTTAGGCTGGAAGCACTACATTAATGAATAAATAAAAAAGCAACCACATGAGTCAATGTGCTGAGTAAGGAGTAAATAATGCACAGCAGCATAAACTGTTATTTAATGGAATTATATGTGTTATTCATTTCATCTACCCTTATTGTCTGGTCACTATTACCAACAGAAGTTAAGAGTAGAAGTTAAAAGTCAATACATTATGAATCTTTAGGAATAAAATCATAGTGTCATCAGCAGTACCTTGAAAAGAATGTGTGAAGGTGTTTTGGTTTGTTTTCGCGAAGGCGAATTTTGGGTTTGGTTTGCATCTGTGTAGATGAAGGAATGTCTAAAAATGGCAATTCAAGCAGTGGGATTGTCATGGGCCTAGTGATGTCTCACAAGGCTAAGAACCAAGGATGATGTCACTCGGTCCTACAAATTTATATATTCTGGACAAATTTGTTTCAAAACATGGTGCCAGGCTTCTTATTTAGAAAGACAGATGCCTGGAAAAAGAGGATATGAATATGTTTTTACAAGGCTCATCATATGAGTGACTGCAAAGCAGAAACACATTCAAGCAAAGAATTCAACATTTTATGAAAGGTGTGCACAACGAATCTGTAACCCTAAACCCTGAGGCTTGTTCACATTTTTCTTCTGAAAATGTTCAGTCCCTTAATTTTATATATGTGAGTTTCATTTTCTTTTCAATAATTTGCCATGGATTAGCTCTTCTACCACAAAAAATATGGGTGCTCTGACACAGCTCAGACAAATGCAAGGAATCACCAGGCAGCAGCCCTTGTGCTGCTGGAACTCCAGATGGTGGTGCCACGTGACACAGACAAGTCCCCACTGGCTGTTGCACTTTGCTGCTGCTTCAGCTTGCTTTCAGTATCCAGATGTTGGCTCACTTCTTCTAAGGATGAAATCTCCAAGTCACTGTCTTCATCAACAAACTACAAGCACAAATGGAGGGAACAGACAAGAGAGTTACAGATGGTGTGTAAAGACAAGGTTGTACTTTGGAATGCTTGAGGCACTCGGTCTTTGTGAATTCCAGTGCAAACTGCCTTGATCCATGCCTCTCGGAATATCAAGTCAATTAGAATGTAACCCACTGCATACTTCACCTTAATTTTGTGGTGCAGTTCTTAGCTCAACACATGTAACAAAAACAATTAGTATTATACAATGCATTTAGAAATGCATTTTAAAAAAATAGAAAAGAGCATTTTTCAAGAAAATATGTTCAAAATCACATATTTAATGATATGCAATTTTCATATCGATCTTTAAAATATCACACATTGATTCTGGTCAGAATCCTGCTGGTGTTTCTGTAAGAGTTATGTAACTTGAAAAAGCTACTTGTGGCTTCCTGATGAGATGCTGGGGCGAGTCTCAGCTGCCTGCCTGGTCATGCACCTGATTGTGCAACAGAGATGTGCTCTGGAACCTCATCAATTAGCTGCAACTGGCTATGACAATTATGAAAACTTTTTGTGACCATCAACGAATAGCATTCCAGCAGTACATACTGGAGGATCTCTGAAGCTTTACTTCTCTTACATTCAAACACTTTAGAGCAGTGGTCCTCAATCTTGGGCCTCCAGATATTCTTGGACTACAGCTCCCAGAAGCCTTCACCGCCACCTCTGCTGGCCAGGATTTCTGGGAGTTGAAGTCCAATAACATCTGGAGGCCCAAGGTTGGGGACCACTACTTTAGAGAACAGGAATAAATGTTTTCAACCCTGCTGTTACATAGGGAGATTGAGAACAACATGTAAATAATAGCATTTGAGGATTCTCAGAATGGTCAGACCACAAGTCTTTAAAGGAAGAGCCTATTCAGAAGCAGTTAATCATTCCCTTCTTCTATGTTTTATTTATTTATTTATTTATTTGTTTTTTATTGTTTTATCCTATACTGGAAGCCGCCTAGAGTGGTCGAGTAGACCAGATAGGCGGGGCATCAATCGATCGATCAATCAATCAATCAATCAATCGATCAATCGATCGATCAATCGATCGATCAATCGATCGATCAAATAAATAAATAAATAAATAAAAAAATAAATAAATAAATAAATAAATAAATAAATAAGAGTATCCTGGGACTGTGCAGCTTTGCCCAAGGCTCTTCTGGGATGCACAGAAGGGAACTGAACTCCCAACCTCTGGTTTCACAGCTAGATGCCTAACTCACTGAGCTATCCAATCAGACAGTAAATATAGAATTGTACTATTAGTCCGAGGAACAATTAGCCTCAAGAAACAAAAAACAAAAAAACAAAAAAACCAAACCCTGCCTCTTTTTCTAACTTCAAAGCAGGCTGTATAATACCTGAAGTTTTTTGCTGGAGTGGTTGGATTTAGGAGCCTCTTTGGTTTCAGTGGGAAAGAGCTTCACTCCCCCAGCAGGCTTTCTTCCAGGAGTACTCAGTGTTCCCTCCAGATTTTTAGCCATCGACTGCACCCATGTTTCTACATGAAACACAGTCAGTTAGAATAGCAACCTGGCTCATTATACTAAATGATTTTTTCAAGGGCAGTTTCAGACTTCAGAACCCATGTAATGCTGATGGTCTCAGAATGACAACCCTAACAATTTGGCTGCCACTGTTTAGCAAAAGAATGAGTTCAGGAAACTCCATGGCATCTAGGACATGAATCTTTCTCCACCGTGTGATGAAAGCATTCATGTGCAGTGTTACCATATTAGAGGTACACCCTTCTAGAACAGTGGCTCCCAATCTTTTTCAAGTCACAACCCCTTTTTATAAGAGGCAAGTAACCTTTAGCACCTCCCCCAGCATATTAGCATAAAAAGGCATTTTGATGGCGTTAGGTCATCCCATTTCAAAAAGTAGAGATTTCCTCCTCTCCCAAAGAGCCTGTTTCTCATACATACACATAAATGCTAACTTTAAAATCATGCTCAGAAAGATTAAGGAAGAAATTATTTAACAAGGGCTACAACACATATAAGGTGACCTATTAGTCCCTAGAAAACATTTTGCAACCCTCTTGGGCGATCATGACCCCAGGCTGGGGAAGACTGTTCTAGAACAAAATGTTGCCATACTAACATGGCCCTTGAATGGACTGGAACACATGATAAAGAATTTTTAATGTAGTGTTAACCATATGAAGCATCTAACTGGTAAGTGTAACCTTGACACATTTTAAAATTGGGATGCTTTAAGAATTTCATGTTCATAAATTCCTGCATGAAATACACTAATCTGTATTTCTCAGATCAATGGAAGGACTATACAGGCAGCCAGTTTTGCATTCTTCTGAATATTGTGACCATACTCACAAACTTGTATTAGAATATGCATATATTAAAATATGGATGCTGTGTTGTTTTGAATTGGCAGATTAATGCAGAAACTGAAGGGAATTTGAGCAAGACCTTGTGAAAATGACATGGATCTGAAACAGGCAAATCCACTCATTTTAGGTGGGCTTTATGTATTGCTGGTGGCTACAAGGGGGAAAAAACTATCAGCATTTGCAACATTGGATGACTTGGCCTATAAAATGAAGAGACTTCAAAAGTCTTTGATAAGGGAAAAGAGAACACAGCCAGATGAGTATATGTTAGCATTTAATTAAGCTAAACCAAATTAGAGCAATGCAGCTCAGAAGGATAGCAGATCAATGTTCTTAGAAATATGGAAGCAGATCCAATCCATAGGGCTACACACTGTAGAGTAAAAGCAAAAGTCTACATGTATTCTGGATTAATAGGAATGAACAAAGTTGACAAGAGGCTTTGCTTTAAATGTGGCAAGCAGTGGCCTCTAGGCATTTCATTTCTTTATGACATACTAACTACTAACAAGCAAAAGAACAAAATAACATTCTTGATGCAATGGTGATGACATGTGGTCACAAGATCAACACCCGAATGTACTGAAAGGTCCTCTAAGAATGGCTTGTAATTGTTTTGCATTTACCCAGCGGGCGATAGTGAATAGAGTGACAGACCAGGCCCAAGGAAACCTAGGTTTGAATCCCTGTTCAGCCAAGGAAATTTGCAGAGGGAAGGGGCAGCAGCATAGGAAAAAATAAACTTCTTAAACATCGCACTTGGCTTGAAAATTATATTAGGGTCACTTATAAACCAACCAACCAAAGTGTTTTTTTTTAACCTGAATGAGCTGGTGCTGCAGGTGAAAGGATTCTTCCCATTTTGCCTCTCTCTTCCGGAGAATTTGTATCAGATGAATCCCAGTCACTCTCCTCCTTCTGGGTTACTCTGGGAAGTTCTGGTTCTGTCTTGAATGGTGTGAACTTTGGAGAGGCAAAGGTTTGCTCTTCCTCAGACTCTTCTTCTTCAGAAGTGAAAGGTGAAGTGCTGAGAACAGGAATAAATGTTTTCAGCTATGCTGTTACATAGGGGATTCGGGACAACACGTGAATAAGACCATTCTGATGATTCTTGGCCAGGGTTTTGAAGGAAACTATTATTTTTTCGGTTAACTAGGGAGGGAGCTTATTATTCACTTATTAATTTCTTAAAATGTAAGGTTTTTTCTTGAAATAATAAGCTCAGTGCAGTATATCTAGAAGTTCATAAAACAGAAAGGCAGCTCAAACTCTCAAAATCAGCTCCCGCAGTAAGACCAAGAGTAGGACAAAATACTTCGGCCAGAAGCCTTTTAGTTATTTATGTCTGCATAAGGGCAATGGCATAAATCAGAGCAGGAACAGTTGCTGCTGGGATCCCTAATCACTCATCAGTCATGTTACTTCACTTGCAGTGAGCAATGCAAGTGGCGACTCATTAACTAGTGGCAATTTGCCATTGCAATTTATTCCACTGCACTTACAAAGGCATTAACTAATTAACAGATTTTGGCCTCCAGCATAAAAATGGGAAGAGAACTTTAGCCCTGAATTTTTACATACAACATACCTAGGCTGATGAATAGGAGAGTGCTGGGAGGAAGGTGGGCTGATCTTGGCTTGCTTTGGAGAAGAGAACTTGGGCGTCTCCATCACACTAGTCACAGAGATGACTTTACTCCTAGGAGCTGGCTTGGGCATCTCTGAAGCATAAGGCTGCAATTCAACTTGTTGCATTCTGGGTTTTGAAGACTTAACCTGGAATGGAGAGTGTGGACTCATCTGCCTTCTACCTGAAAAGGAAGATTAGAAAGAGTTGAGGGAAAACAAGTTACCTACTACCTGACCCAGGGACTGCGAAGGGGAGACAAGTGCATCATATGAGGAAAGAAATGACAAGTTACCCACCTAGTTCTTCGAGTGGACCTCTGTGATTCACACTCTGGGTGATCTGCACCTGCGCGGAGCCCCATCGGAAAGTTCTAGAGCTTAGGCAGTAGCAAAAAACACGGGCCTTATTCTAATGTGTTTTTTGCTACCACAGAAGCTCTAGAACCTTCTGATGAGGCTCCACGCAGGCGCGGATCACCCAGGGTGTGATTCACAGAGGCCACAAAGAAGAACTATGCACCCTCACCGAAGCCTCATAAAAGATGTCTACTATGTGTAAAACAGTAAAGGTAAGTGAAGCACTTGTGCAGCTAGCAATGTCTTCATATGGGATGCTTACATTAACTTTGACCCTACTAATACAGGACGTAGGGATGCTTATGGTGAAAACGTGTCTTTTGTCCTTTCATTTAACACAAAAGGGAATGTTCTTTCTCATTTATGTTCTATCTGACACTTGCCCCAAAGCTCTAAACCCCCAAAAGACTATTCCCCAAATGTAAAGGCAAAATGACAGAGAATCAAGCTATAGCAGAAATAGGCAACAATACAACCAAAAACAACATCATAAAAGGAAACAGTCCCATTCCCCAAACCCACCAAAATATACACCTTGAACAGAAGAAATACACATAGTAAATTAACCAAACAACATTTTTAAAATATCAGTCAAACAGGATCTAAAGGGGGTCATTCCAGCACTGAAACTGCCTCTGGCAGTGAGACAGAGAGGGGCACAGTTTTTCCCTTGAAGCCCACCTCCAGGCACTGTCAGAAACCTGCTTGACAGCTAGGAAATTCTCTGAAGCATTTCAAGATCATGGAGGGCTGAGGAGAGAAGGGAGGGGAAAAGTTGTGTTGCTCTGGTAGATATCTGCCAGTGCAATGAGAAATACGGGCTACTCTAAGCTGTCTTTGAAGACTTAAACAATAACACAGTATAAATACATACCAAGTAAATAAAATAAAAGTAGATGAGATGGGAATCAGTGTCCTGGCAACAGAATGGCACAAATCCTCTTACCTGGGCCTGCAGAGAATGCCACAGACAAATCCCTTTCCTCCATCTGACCCAAACTGATTCTCTTTTTCACTTCCAACTGGAGTTTGTCTCGTAAGGCAAGCAGACGTGGAAACTTCTGTGCTTTTTGCTGTTGCTGTACTTTTACTATATCCCTCAGGTGTTTATAGGTCTGAGCTGGAACACCTTTTGTGCCCTGTAAGAAAACCCATCATGAATACTGGAAATCTTACTGCCACTTCCTTCTGATTCTGTTGCTCTCTAGAGTAGTAGATTAGTAGTAAATTAAAGGCCTTTTTGTAACTAACTATCACTGAGGATAATGTGGGTAGGATCAGGGAAGGTGAGGGACAACATGGAGGCAGGTTTTTGCCTCTCCTCTACTCCCATTTGCTTCAGTGTTGTTTCAGACACTGAATGGAATGGATATGTGGTGGACAGAAATTTCCATCATAATCTTACTGATTCAGGGTCTTTATGGGCCAATAACTTATGGAAAGGGCTCAGGTCCTTTTTGAGCACATTTATATTGTTTCTTGCAATTAATATCCATTCATTTTAGTAAGGAAATACTGGTAAGTCATTTTTTGTCACTGAATAGAGCAAATTTGAATTGTGCTAGAGAAATGTATTACTCAAGTAGCATATGGTTTGGAGAACACCAACCATTTACCACTGGAATCAACAAGTATCTCCATGAGTTTTATTTGTGTTGATATTATGTGGTTGCTACTCAACATCTTTCCTGTTATTGCCAGTTCTCCTTGCTGTTTCTTTAGGAATTCCAAAAAGATTGTGCAAGTTATTTTCACTCATACAGAATACTACTTGCATCTTTTTATTCTTTAATTTGTGTAGAGCCTGTATGACTACAGTCATGTATTCTGATGCAGGCTTGTGTGTTATCTATTGGCTGGCCTTCTTTTCCAAATTAAAAGCCTGACACACAGTTTATTGAGCTGAATATTTCATTTATACAATGACTGTGAACAATACAGGTGCTGAATATTCCCAAACGGAAGAGCTCTTTTATTTCTTTCCTCCAACTCAAGGGTTCAAATTCTCTTGCCTAATTACATTGGGGTAACACAAATGGTGTAACTTTTGGGAGCTAATTACCTTAAATAAAGAGAACTAATCATAGGCATTACCTAGCATGTACTGAGTTATGTGACTTTGTTTGCAACTGATAACATCTATGGTGATTTCTTCATGTGGGGAAATTTTCATCCAAACATTACACCATTTGTTAGCTATGCAAAAGGATTCTGGCCAATATATTTACCTAAGTCAATTTAGCTATTTATTCAAAGTTAGAGCCGAAGAGTTGCATATCTTTTTCTATGTGGTTCTTCCCTCCTTTTATTCTTATCCCCATTTCTTTCTGCCCTCTGTCCAATCTTCTGTCTTCAAAATCTCCCCTGAACTCTCTTAGACTTTTCAGACCAACAATGTTCTCAATCCAGTTTAAGTCAAAGGCAAACATAATTTCTGGTCTGCAAGAGGGAATTTTATAGAAGTCTCCTGAATCAACAGTCTGTGAAAAGGAGTTGTAACTGTGGTGGGAAGAGTGAGAATAACCTTCTACAAACCATTTTCTTACAACATATATTCCAAATTTTGAAATAGTTGGTGTGGAACTTGGAAGAGGCAAAGGCAGATAAATTCTTCTGCCTATGTTGTGACTGGCAATACATTCTCAGAATGTGTTGGAGACTGAAGAGACTTCACCTTTCATGCATTAACAGACATTGCAATTCTTAATTGAATATGAAATAGGCATTAAAAGTTGTTCAAATTGATAAAAAGGGAATAATGCACTCTCTATCTCTGCCTGCTTTCTTTCTCTCATGGAATTCACCCGCTTCACTCCCATGTTCTCCAGTTTTTCTTCAAGGGTCTCCTCAAGAATCGGCCGGAACTGTTTCAGCAAGTTTGGATTCCTTCTCAATGCTTCTAGAACTCTCTTCTTCTTGTCTACAGCATCTTCTAGTTCTGCAATGAAATCAATGGTCAAAATAGTAAGAAAAAGTTGGGATCACCTCAATACTTGGACATTATGTTCATAACTAAGGATGAAGTTGACACCTCAGTATGTCTTTCAGGCTATCAGAAATTTGAATGCTTACCTGATATTGCCATAACAATAAGTCGAGCATTAATTTTCACAGGATAGAAAAAACAATTACAGTGGTGCCCCGCTTGACGATTACCTCGTTAGACGAAATCGCTTAACGATGAGTATTTTGCGATCGCTATATTGATCGCAAAACAGTTTTAATAGGAAAAAAATCGCTTGACGATGATCGGTTCCCTGCTTTGGGAATGCTTAACTTATACTAATTAAAAGCTTGCCATCCCTCCATTTTAAGTTCCAAGGCTCCTTCGGGCTCCCTTTGCCCTGGGAAATCCTTTTGGAGCTTTAGCACTGGGACTGGGGGGAGTCTTTACAAGTCAAAATTGCCACCAGACTGGTAGTGGCAGAGGCAGTTCTGATCCTGGTGGAAGTGATCCAGGGCTATTTTTCATTTTTAAAGGTTTCCCCACCCTTCATCCAAGGCTTCAAAAGGCTTCCCCAGGGCAAAAGGGAGCACTAGGGAGCCTCAAAACCTAAAACATAGATGTAGGAAGCTTTTCATTAGTGTGAGTAAAACCCTTCTGGCATCCTCTCAGAGTCATTCTGGACACAAAATTACTGAAGAGGTAACCACTGTCAATCACAAAATCAGTGTAATTGTTTTTCATACCACGTCCCAAAATCTCCCAGATGTCAGATTCTAGGAGCTGTATAGAAAAACTAACTTTTCAATCCATTTTGGAACAGTCTTTATTTAAACATCTTACAAGATTCTTCCCATCCCATTTTTGTAGGCATGATGGATCTCTATGTCCTTCTATAGAATGATAACATTTTGGAAGGGTTCAGATTTGGATTTGTAGGAGCCCCATTTCAAAATTCAGAGCTCTCCTGGTTCCCTCTGAAGCAGCCCAACTTGGTTCAGAATTCAGCCAAATCCAAAGCCTGTTGTGAAATCAAAACAAGAGGAGAATCAGAGTAGTGAAGAATACCTTCTTCTGTGGATTCTTCTGGCTTGTCTGTCTTAGGCACCTCCTGGATTTCTGGAAATTAATTAGCAATAACTTAGAAAAAATGTACCATATTCGTGTTCTAGATCACAGAACTCACAACTCTTATACACTGCTGTATCAATGGGCTAAATCCAAACAACAGTTCCAATACCAAAACTCACTGAAATAAATTGAACTTCTTAGTTAATGCTTATTTAAGCCTCATTGATTTAATGGGTTTTCTCTAACTGGGAAAAATGGACTAAGTTTAAGGTGAAAAATTTAAACAATTAAACTCCAACTGAGGTCAGCAGAGATTGTTAATTATTTTAAATGACATTTAAACCTCTTCTCTGCATGGCAATTAATTGATTTTAAACCTTAAACAATTGTATTGAAGAGTTTTTTGTCCTTACTGTCACTAGGCCTATATCTAAGCCTGAGCACAAGTAACTGAAACTTCTCTATATTCTTTATCTCACTGCTGCCTCAATGTGACTCTTCTTCCTCTTCTATTTCTCCTGCTGACCTGTAAACTGTAACCTCCTTGGGGCAGTGCTCTGCCCTCTTGTTCACTATAAAGTGCCATGAAAACTAACACAACAGTAAGAGTAAGTTTTAAAAAGCGCTGCCATCTCTTACACATGGAAACTGCCAAGAGCAGGAGGAATCCTCAAAAGTTCTTTAAGCAGCATATGTGACATCAGTCACTAAATTTCTGATCTTTAAAATCCTCCTTCAATGTACGGATTAATTGGACAGCACATCCTGGTAGTAAATGGTAGTATATTTGATTTTTCCAGTAACAGAGAAGAAAGGGGAAACTGTCTGCTTAGAAACGTAATGAAAAAATTGGCCACAGAAATGCACACTTCCAGATGTGCTCTAAGGAAATTCCACCTTTCCAATAAGCAGGCAGCTTGCAACTTTAGGGCCCCTATTAACATTTTCCCTTACTATGCAGTTTGGACTGAGGTAGCAAGAAACATTAGTCTCTCCACAAAGCCATCTGCAACTGTCACTATCTGCAACAGAAAATAACTATGGAATCCATTGTGGCCTCTGTTGCAGTTAAAAGTTCCATGGATGCTGAGATCAAGGGTGACATTTTCAGAATGACCTTGGAACAAAAGCTGGATAATTAATTCCCACTGTGCACTTTGGAGTCAAGAGATATGGCTATTACAGAACTTCCTTATTCGACTGCCTAAAAAAGTCAGTGTATTATACAATTTGTCAAATGACAGCTAAGAACACACTAGTGTTAACTGTGGAAATCCATTCAAGTTATTGGCCATTACCTCTGGCTTTACTGGAAGACAGGAGCTTAATCTGGAAGACAAAATAAGTTATGTAAGAAAATCAGCTTTTGATGACAATATCTATTGATTGCTTAATATTTTATGGCTTTAATCTTCAGGCAAAAGGGGCATATGAAGGCGTATGTTCAATGTTTGGGAGCAACTAGTTACAATTATTGCAATCAATTCTTTTTGCAATAACTAAGATGTATGTAAAATTACATTACAGTTGTAATGCAGGGAGAGATAATGTCACTCTTTTTTTTGGCAATGTAGCTATAAGTGTTTTATAATTACATGTGGCCTCACTGAGTAGTTGTGCTTCATATCAAAGGCCAATGTCCTGTAGCAGTCTGGTTAAAAAAAAACAGCTAAGAAAACACACTAGTTATATTTGAATAACAAAAAAGGGGATTTTTTTAAAAAAAATGTAACTATATCAACATTTAATTACTTTTGGGGAGCCTTGGAATTGTTAAGGTGAACAATCCAATTCCTACTTCAGCTTGAACAACAAGAGTCAAAATTCTCATCAAACTTGCATCACAAGAGAAAAACAGAGAGCTTCTTGAAGAACTGTGGGCTGGAGCTCATATTCAACGTACAGTTTTCTCCTGAGTTTGGATGATCTTGGCTTGCTCTCGGAGTTGTGCAGTTAGAGATCCCATTTGCTGCTTGCTTTGCTCAGCCATCTTCCACTGGTCAGAAGATAAGGATGCTCGCAGTCTCTCATTCTCATTCTTTAACTGGGAGGAGAAAAGCAATGCGTATACATTTAGGGATTTGGGTAGCAGAGCTGTTCTGTGTGAGACAATTAACTACCTTAAAAGAATCTCGTGCTCTGAACGCAGCCACATGGGCTAGCAGCTAAATGTGACTGTACTGGGATCTAATGTTACAGTGAGATTTTACAATTTCAAATGGATGCATCCAGCATATTTGCAAGCTGTTCTTTATCTTCTTTCCCTAGCACCAGAAAGGATGATGAATGTTCATTGCTACATGGTACTCTAAAAGCCGTGGTGGACAGAATAATCTTATTCACATTTTGGTGTCTTTTGGGGTACACAAATTGGCCCTCTTGGTCTGTACATATCCATTCAGTAATATACGTTGTTGCACGCCTTCCACTGTTGTACAATGTGTGTATGGGGGAGGGCGTGGCCTCAGATCTATGGGTTATATTTTCCCTCATTGAGCTTTCAGCATGATGTATACACAAGAATCTACATGAATACAGCATAGGCTGTATATAAATATGCCATGCTGAACACAGGAATATGAAATATGCAAACTGAACCCTACTCCCAGAATTTTGCTAACTTTCTTTTTGAACAACAACCAGTGGCGATGCCGGCTAGGTGACTTCTGAAACTTGTAGCTAAGGAAAGTAACTTAACAAAGCTCTGCCTACTCCCCCATAACCACTACGAGTACACTAATTTAATATGAACAACGCCCCTAATGGTAAAAAAAAAAGCTACTCACCTCTTCCTTCTCATTCTGATACTCTTTCTGAAGTTCCTTTAGCTTCCATTTCCACTCTGCTTTCTGATAAAGGTTTTTAAAAAGGTTTCAGACATATTCATTTGTATTTTGGTATTCTGCACTACTACTTGTGTAAACATATTAGGTTATTACTTGGGATTCTAAACATGTGTTCTTTTTTTGGTTCATGTTCTTTGCTGAACCTGATAGAGGTGCCAGGTTACCTTAAATCAAGTACAAGGAATCCCTTTCCAACCCAGAAAGCCCTTCTGATCCACTTATCTAATGAAAATTCTGTGAGGAATATTAGTAACCTATTTAGGGAAGAATACTTACTTCAGAGGGACAATGGCCATCCTGGCTGCTTCTGTGCCAGGTTATAAAAAAGGCTGCAAATCTGTAGCATTTTCTGCATGGCAGCTTGAAATATTTTTACCGTACAGTTCTATACCTTTTATCTACTTAAATGCAAGTACCAATGATTTCAAGTGAAACAAACTCCTAGGTAAGTGTGTATCAACTGTAACCTTATTGATCAAAAAGTATTACTCTAGGAATTGAGAGAAAATGTAAAATTTCACCTTGTTGGAGTTTTCTATCTTGAAAGTCCTGATATCTGAATTAGACTGTGTGGTTTATTCCTTTCTACATGACCAGGTGAAATGTTGTGAGCATGTTTTGAAATGTATAGTAATGTTCTGCATTTCTCAAACATGCTTTTTAAAGCACATTTCAAAAATACATGCATATGCTTCAAGCACATTTCTCCATCTTGCACAAACTATATCACAGCCTTTGAAATGTATGATGTTCAGCCCTGAAATTGTGTTGATGTCTACATCTGATTTGAGGAATGATGAACTGGATAAATTCTCTCGCAAAATTAACTTAATAAAATTTCTCACTCATATCTATGCGAGAAAAGAACAATATCTATGCAACAAAACAAACTCATAATGATCACTCTGCTGTTATTTTGTCATGTTCTAGAATAGTTTGTGAGTTTTCATGGTGTGGCTCCAGTGGGTCACAATGTTTAATATATCATAAAAAGAAGATATTACCATATGCAGTCTTCTTACATAGCTAAACAGGAAATTATATTCTATAGGTCCTACTGGATTCTTTATCCTATCAGGTTAGGGTTCACATGACTCGTGGGTTATAAGCAGCTCTCCAAGACTTTTTTTTTTGGTAACTCCTAAAGGATCCTCATAATAAACACACAAATATCAAATGACATGGAACTCGCACATCTGAAAACCTCCAAGGGATATGATCTTTCTCTAAAATAAGTTACCCTACACTGTATCTTGTTTGATACCCCAAAACAATTTTTAAGAATCCGCACTTAATCACTTCTGGTTCCATTGGAAAGGACTGGAGTGACTTGTGATGGGTCTGAGTGAGATGGAACATAGTCCCATATCCTCTGAGGTTGCTAATTTAAGTGATCAAATCCATCCTTTCACATTGGCTGCCCCTACCTGCTGTTCAATCTTTGCCTTCATTCCTTGTAGCTCTCTCTGAGTTTTACTCCACTGCTGCTTGTCTATTGACTCATCATCCTGCAATGTCCCAAGATTAGAGACTACTGCATTCTTGATCTGTAGTTCGTGAAGTTTCTGAAGAAGGAAAATGTGGTTCATTTCAAAACATTCTGCATCGGCTAGAAAAACAAATAACAAGTGATCTGTGCCTTCCCACTGCAGAAGCCTGGCTACTTGCTATGAGGTACACTTTTCACTGTCCCTCTGATTTTGTTCTATTAACTTGAGTGGGGAAAGGTAAACACTTTGAATACACATAACCACCGTAGAAATAATCACTATCAGCCACAAGCCCCTCTTTTTCCTGCACTTATGAGTGGCGTTATGAATAGACATGGGATATTTGTATTCATCTCCCATACGGTCTGCTTATTGTTTGATGTGCGGTATGCACAGCTGTTGTCCTTTATGCCACACCCATCACAGGAGTAGACTGGCTGGTGCTTCCCTGCCTCCCTGCACAGCTGACCCCTTCTGCAAGATGGGTTACCTCGTTAAGCTGCTGAGTGGCTGGCTGTGCAGGGAGGCAGGGAAGTGCTGTCCCGGCTGCTTCTGCAATTGATGTGTTGTGAATGATGATGGCTGCATATGCTACATGGCAAGCAGTAAATGGACTGGCTGGTTCTGGGGATGGGTCCAAATGGCCCAGGCACCTATGGTGACAATATTCATCTCCCCTGGGAGACAAATATGAACACCCCATCTCTTGTTACAAAGCAAGGGAGACATTTTACTTGTAAAGGTTTATTAAGTCACAGCTACAGTTTTGCCTCCCTTTCATAAAGGGTAAAGCCAATCCCATTTCATTCAGTTGATATTTGATCAGAACTAGGTGAAAAACTCTAACACTCAGACCCCCATGAAATAATAAGATGAGACACTGTGCTACATTTTGTATCAGTAAATGTTTTTTGTTGAATATTTATAAATGGATCTGCAATGTACTAAACAACTAACTCCTCAATTCTGTCCCACCCAGAATGGCTTCCCTTTAGTCAGCAGTTTTTTAAGCATGTTTGTTTGTTTGTTCTTTTATTTATTTAGATTTTTCTCCCGCCTAACTAGTAGCGAAGCTACTACTCTGAGTGGCAGACACAACAAAACATAACAGTAATAGAAAGGCAACAAAAAACATCAAAGATTTCAGTGCCACGATAAAACATGATCCTAAGGGTGCAATGATCAAGAGAGCCAGACAGGCTGCAAAAAATGCATGGCAGGCCAGCCAAGAGGGATATATAACATTACTTTGGGGCAAACTACAGAAAGACTTGGGAGAACAACCACGTCTTAAGTTGCCTCCTGATACCCAGGAGGGATGGGTATTCTGGAAGGGAATTCCAGAATAAAGCAGTCACCACAGGTAAGGCCTGGTTATGAGTGACAGACTTCTGGGCTTCCTTCAGAGTGGCCATTCAGAGTATCCCCATACAAGAGGTATGGGTGGGATGGGTAGACTTTTGAGGGAAAGGCACTCTGACAGGTAACAAGATCCTAAACTCTCAAGGGCTTTAAAGCATAAGCAGCTTGAATTTGTTCCTCTCACCCCAAACGTCTACCACAGCTTTCAAATCTTGGGTGACCAGATGTTGTTGGTCTACAGCTGCCAGAAATCCTGCCCAGCACAGCTTGCGTTGAAGACTTGTGGGAGTTTTAGTGCAAGAAAATCTGGGGGCCCAAAGTTGGGAATCACTGTTCTAAGCCAAGCTCACAGCTTCTAGTTGAAATAGTCTCTCTATTCTATATGAATCAAGTGAGCCCAAAAAGACAGGAAAATTAATGTATTATCAGACTTCCATTTTGATTCTCCAAAGAACTTAGAACATGGTCACTTTATTTTACCCTCAGCCCTGGACCCTTTGTGCACAGCAGGAAATGCTTTGAACACATTCCATATGCATTGTCTCCGACGCATTTTTGGCAGGACAAAGTTCCAAATCATCTGGCAGGAGAAAGTTCCAAATAGAGTAGTCCTAAAATGAGCTGGAATTTTTAGCATGTATACATTACTGAAACAATGCCGTCTACATTGGCTTGGGCATGTCATGAAAATGGCTAATGGTCGGATTCCACAATATCTCCTGTATGGAGAATTAGTGCAGCTGCGATACAAGGATATCTGCAAGCGAGATCTGAAGGCCTTAGGAATGGACCTCAACAGATGGGAAACTTTGACATCTGAGCGTTCAGCCTGGAGGCAGGCAGTGCATCATGGCCTCTCCCAGTTTGAAGAGCCCCTTGTCCAGCAGGCCGAAGCAAAGAGGCAGTCCCGAAACCAGCAAAATCAGGGAGCTGGACAGGGGACAGATTGTATTTGTCTTCAGTGTAAAAGGGATTGTCACTCTCAAATTGGCCTACTCAGCCACACTAGACACTGTTCCAAGATCTCTATTCAGAGCACATTACCATAGTCTCTTGAGACTGAAGGATGCCTACACTGTTGACAATAGTCATGTGAAGTGGCACTGTACTGAACATTTAGGAAAACAGGAATAGAGACTAAGCCATATTTTTCTCTTACCTCTTCCAGGACAGAATTCCTGCTAGAAATATCTTTGAATTCAGAGAGGAACAGCTGCCTAAGGTCTTCCATTTCCTTTTGAAACTTTGTCCTTTCTTCCTCCTTCCATCTCTCAAATTTTCTCCTTTCCTCTTCTTCTCTTTGGCGAATATTCTCTGCCTCCTATCAAGAGAGCAATGTTCAGATGGCATTATTTCCATGCTCAAAAATTGAACTTAAACTACAGCCATTCTAAGTGAAAGCTGAGGTATGGGCTCCATGCCACTGTTTGCTTTGCCAGTTCCAAGATGGATGTTCGATGCGGCCACATGGGGAAATGACTTCTGATCATGGGACCAGACCTTTCCCACCCTCATCCCACCCTGGGCCACATAACACCAGAAGCTGCTCCCCTTCCCTCCACATCACAATTCCCTACTGCAATGTTCATTTTAGCTTTTTTTATACAGAGGGAGACAGAGAGCTCCATTCCTTTTTTTCCCCCAAAGAGAGAAGTGATTTCTTTGAAACTTTCAGCAGAGCTTCTCGCATTGAGGGGCAGATACATTTTACCAGGGCTTAGAGGGGCTCATTATGCTTCATTTCTCAGCAATTTATAACAGTGATTTCAGAATTAAAACAAACTTTTTTTTCATGACTAACAAGATTCTATGTCTCAGAGCTTGGAATGTTAGGTTTAAAAATCAATTAGTTGAAGTTGAATGTCAGAAATTGGAAACATTTATTTGTGTTAGCGTTTAAAACTGAAAACAACCCATCAAATTAGAATTATGAATGCATTGCTTACAAGATGCATTTATGTATGTATCTTCTGATGAAAGGGCAAGACACTTCCCCTCCCTCAAAACAAAAAAATGTCTAAACATCCATTTCAAAACAAGGTTTAAAATAGGTAGCACAATCATGGCTTAATAAATAGTTTAGGACTAAGACACATATAAGTTTTATTTAATACTGCTAAGTGTCTTGGGTATTTACCAGGGCTTCTGGGAGTTAGACAGAGGTAACAGAGGAGGCCATGGGGCTTGGTTGGCATTTTGAAAAGCCACAATTTCAAGTGAATGTTGCATGATTCTGTAGCTGGGGCATGTAGAAAGCACCCAAGAAAGGGACCAGAGCCAAATCCAAAGCTGTGGGGATGAAAATTTCCCTTCCCTGCACATCTATTTCGGAGTAGGTATACATAGGTAAACCCAGCCAAAAGCATGACAACACAGGAGTTATTTTCACAGGAAGTGGCAATGCCAAGAAATCAGGGGACCAGGATGGTTTCCCAAGGCAGGGCATTCCACTAGCTGGGAGTTGTGATTGAAAAGGCCTTGCACTACATCCCATTTAACTTGATCTACAATAGTTAGTAGTTGTTGCACAGAATAGCTGACAATGATCATGCTAGGAGGGCCAACTCAAGCAATTCACTCTATGTTTGGTTACTGGAAGCGCAGAACACATCTCTTCTATTCTAGCTGCTGAGCTGCAGAAAGCTCCTGAAATATGATCAGCATTATCACATATGGCACAAATGTTTTCCACTTTGGCTCCAAACAAATAATTATAATTCATAAAGGCAAGGAACATTGGGTTTGAGAGGTTCTTCTTATTCATACCCAAGCTCAATGTTGACATTCATACCTGAGCTCGATGTTGACTTTCAGCCTCCAGTAGAACTTGAGTCTCTTTTAGCTTGACCTTCAGTTCATCAATTTCATTTTCCATTTGCACCACTTGTTTCTTCTTCTCCTTCTCTGCAATGTTGATGTAGAAGGAAGCACCATTAATGGTGGCCTCAACTGCAAACATTTCAAAGAGCTTCACCTTTTCCTAGCCTGCCGCCCCATTCCAGTTTTCAAAGTTAGATTATTAGGAAAGCAATTCAATTACTGCAAGTGCATCATATATAGTTCTGTGCTATTGCATGTGATGATGATGATGCCACCAACATGCATGGCAACAAGTACAAGAGGACAAGCCCTCAACGTCTATGCTGTCTTCGAAAGGTATCAAAAAAAAATTAGAAAGTAGAAAATGGAGATGGAGAAAGCCATCTACAAAATGTAATTGAAACTGCGGTTATCAAAGTGATCTCAAATATATACTTCTCTCCCACTCACCCCACCTTGGAATCCCTTTCACACAGAAGATCCCAGGAACTACTCAGGCAACCACCATTGCTCACCAGCTGCAGTGGCCTCTGGGTGCCTGCGCTGCATGTGGGCTTGAAGAAAGGAATAGTTCATGAAGGTCTTATCACAGAGCTGACACTGTGGAAAAATACAGAGAGGAGGTCACATATACAAAACATTATGATCAGAACTCAACAGGCAGTCATCCACCAGCTTCTTCTCCATCCTCACAGAATATTAAAATTACAAGATGAATGGGGACAAAAGGTAAGCAAGTCCAACTCCAATCTTCAAAGAAGGACAACCTATCCTCATACAGTACTTTACATAATCTTGATCCTATACTGTTCGGGAATTTTTGCCCAAATACTAGAACACAAATGGCCACTCAGGCATGAAGGATTTTTGTTTTAAACAATGGTACCCACTACAGGCTCAGAAATGGCATAATAAAATGGTCTAAAATGCAAAAAATCCAGACATCAACTTCTGGTTCTGATTTTTTGTAATGGTCGGGGGCGTTTCTCTTGGCATTTTGATCTAAAAATTGTCACTCCCAGAGTGCAAAAACCAACATTTCTCCACTTCCACCTCCACAGTAATTGTCAGTCACACCTGTGGATCATCAGGAGGCTCAGGGAGGTTGGGGCTTACAAATCTGGTCTGGAGCCCCTATACAGTCCATGGTCCATAATTTGTCTGATGCATTATGCAGCTCTAGCCTTTTTCTTCAACTTTGCTTATTTATCTTTACTTCTGAAACCTTTATCAAACAAAGAAGATGAAGAAAATTGCATGGTATCCATATTTACTGCAAGGCATGCCACTGTATGGGCTCCAATTGACCTCATTGCTCAAGCAAATGCAGGGACAGTTGTTTTGATACACAGTCTAATAAACCTAAGTTTCAAACTGCCAACCTAGCAGTTCGAAAGCATGTAGAAATGCGAGTAGATAAATAGGTACCACCATGCTGCAAAGGTACCAGTGTTCTGTGTCTAGTTGCACTGGCCATGTGACCATTGAAACTGTCTATGGACAAATGCTGGCAATAGGGATGAGCACCGTCCTCTAGAGGGGAACCTTTATCTTACCTTGTATCAACACACTATGAAGCAACATCATGCTTCATGATGTGTACCCCTACTCCTATCAATGAAACATCAGAGTATACTGCGAAGGTACCAGTGTTCTGTGTCTAGTCGCACTGGCCATGTGACCATTGAAACTGTCTATGGACAAATGCTGGCAATAGGGATGAGCACCGTCCTCTAGAGGGGAACCTTTATCTTACCTTGTATCAACACACTATGAAGCAACATCATGCTTCATGATGTGTACCCCTACTCCTATCAATGAAACATCAGAGTATACGGGAACCTTTACCTTACCTTGTATCAACTCACTATGAAGCAACATCATGCTTCATGGTGTGTACCCTTACTCCTATCAATGAAACATCAGAGTATACTCTCTGGATAGACGAGTAAATGCCCTATCTTTATTCCCTTTAACTCACCTTGTGGTAGTTATTGGCCCCAGCTTGCAAGAGCAACTGCTGAGTGGCAATCATTTTTTTCCGTCTCCTACTTTCTTCCTTAACACTCTTTATCTCTTCTGCTTGCTTGCCCAATTCTTGTTGGAGGCGCTTGAGGTCTTCTAGAGCAGCCTGGTGGTGTTGCTCCTGAGCTGTCAGGTTCATGCTCAGGTACTCCTGGGAGTGGAGAAGGTACTCAATGGTCAGCTGGGCCATCTTTAAGACCTTTAGGAGAACAGGATCTACAGGCTGCTGACAGTAGGGGCATTTCTCTGCATCAAGATTGCAAAAAGTGACACTGTTGATATTGTCTTGGAGAGTGGCAAGATCCAACTCACGAGCCACCCGGTCTACATCAATGGCACTGAACCGTCTCCAGTCAATCGTATCTCGCCGCAACTGGAATTTAAAGGCTGGAATCACATTTGGACTAGGCAGCATGTTGAAGTTTACTGGAAATGTGGAACCTGGCACACCCATTCAATAATACTGGGATACAGGCCGTGATAATGGATAGTAAATATTAGAAACAAAAGGCTAAAAAAAAAGAAAGAAAAAAATGACATAGATATGAATGGATCAGAGCTGAAAGTGGATAATGAATATTTGCAATAGTCTGTTTTGTACTTGAAGTATAGACAAGTGCTAAATTTGACTGTTATTCTCAACAAGGGTAGATTCATTGAATGACTGTTAATACATGAGTTTCACTAATTCAGTGGCCAAAATCATGTCACTTAATGTAATATATTGCAATAGAGTAGGCCCTGTGAATCAATGGGGATAGGGTGAATCAAGTCTTTCATAAGTTCTGTGGATTCAAATGTGCGTACTAAGTCACAGTTAGTGTAGGTCCATTTGAATTAATGGAACTTATGGGGAAGTTGACTCATTAAATTCCCATTGATTCAATTGGCCTACTCTAGTGCAATTTTCTATGTTAAGCAACACAATTTGTACATTAAGTCTACACTTGCTTGGACTGTCTGGATTTCCCCTCAGATGTATATATACTGTGAAGTTTATAGAACTGCTTTCCTTTTTATATTATTCCACTGTACCACATTATTCCGGAGGAGTAACTGAGTTGTTTTTTGGTTTTTTATCTTAGTTTACGCATTTCCGTATTTGATGGCTGAACAACCACTAAATCAAAAATCTATTAAAAATTCATGGAATTAACAAAAGAGTGAGACAAATATGTGAATGAATGGAAATGACTGTTTTCATAACTGAAAGGTTTGACTCATTAACTATTCAAATTTAAAACTGCCTCTCAATATCTACAGTAAAAGTACAGGCAAGCATTCCAGCTTCTACATAAAAATAAGCAAGACACACAAAGGCATGCTTACACTATCCATAAACTTATATACAAAGTCTCTCAGGCACCCATTGACTATAAAAATGTACACACTTATTTGTTCTGTGTGCATTTTACTATCCACAATGGAAAGCATCAGTATTACTGAGCTCATAATGCATTGCTGACAAATCCATCCATCAATGGCATCTCTCTCTCTCACACACACACACACACACATTTACAAAATACATTTTAGACACTCTTAGCTCCATGTAAATCATGGTCCGCTCATGCTCAAAGCAGCCCCCCCCCCAATGAGTGAGGTGTTCCTCCTGCACAGTCCACAAACCATCCCTGAAATAATCATGTACAAACATATGTGTGTACATACACAATATGTACACACATTATTTACCTAGTTATTTAAATATTTATGATTACAAAATTTCTGTACAATATAATTAAAACACTAAAATGCACAATTGTCACCATAACAACAAATAAAAGCATAAATAAGCAAATAAAATACAGTTCAACAGACAAACTCAATTGATTAAAATACCAGAGAATATTCTATAGTTGGAGGCCACAGATATTTGAACAACTGAATAGAAAAACCTTGATATATAGTTTCAAGGAATCTGTATTATGGCTCAATAAAGTTTGAAACAATATAGAAGGAAAACACTTTACATCTTATCATAATTAATCTATATGAGCTTCAGAACTAAGGACATCTAAAATTAAACTGCTCACATCAAAATAGCTGCTTTTGCATGTCATATTTGTACTATTACAAAACCCTTTATAGTACAATCTTATGTATTTTACTCAGAAGAACATTCCACTAAGGTCAATTCAAATGGTAAATGGAGGTAGGATTGCAGCTGTGCAATTCCATTAAATTTATCCAAAGGAAAAAATTCACTGTGCTCAATGAATCGTACTCGCAGGTCAATATAGACTTGCTGCTTTAGGGGAAACAATTGTTCAGGACATCATGTTACATACCATGTCTCTAGCAGGGAAGCGTTGTGATCAACCAAGAACTTTTGCTTATTCACAACAGTTCAACAGTTGTGTTGAGCAACAGTGTGTTTCTAGGTGTGTCCTGCTTGATGGTAACAGGACTCCTAAGTTCTGCTCATGGTAGCACAAATACACCATAGCTAGGCAGAACATTCCAAGTGATTAAATATTCATTCTCCGCTTTGTGTCCATTTGTTTGATGCTTCTGAGTATGCAAACAATGATGAAGACAAGCCACTGAGTGATACTGTTTCTGGATACATTTCAGGATATATGAACTTTTCTCACGCTGTTACAGTCTTTGAATCACCCAAATGTTCAGGACTGGAGTCACACATTAATGGATGCTAAGCATGTGTACAACATTTCCTGGGATGATGGAGAACTTCCACAGCAGCATGCCACGCTGGCTGAATCTTCTATCACACTGATTCCCAACACTGAGTAACCCAAGTATTCTTGGATTGCAGTTCCCAGAAGTCTTCACTACTTCCTACGATGACGAGAGTTTCTGGGAGTTGCAATTCAAGAACACCTGGGCTACCCAAGTTGGGAACCATCAGAAATTCTTTGGAGCGCTGTGACCCCAAGCATCATGGAGGAACAGACCATGTCTCAGGACCCTGTATGTGTGATTGTGAGGATGGCAGCCTTTCCTTCTATGAAAGGAATGGACAGCCTGCTCCCAAAATCACAGAGGGTTAATGAAGGGCCTTACCAGGTGAGACACTAATTCAGTGTCTAGAAATGATGAGTGCACCCTTAGGAGGAAGACACTTTATATTCTAACACTTTATATTCTAACACAAGCTTCCCTCAATATGGATTTGACAATTACCTTGCTTTGTAACTGATCAGCTTGATGATAGCGTATTGGCAGTGCAACAGAATAATCAACAGTTAAGGCGCTAAAATGGCCAGCTTCTGCTGTCCTTGAACACAGTGGCATGTGGGACCTGTCTCATTGTTTAATTAGCCTTGGATGCAATTTACACTGCTAGAAACAGATAAAGCAAACAAAGTACCTTGGGAACAGAGACCTAATATGGGTTCAGCATGCATGAAAAAGGATGATCTTCCTTTTTCTTGTGCCTAATGCTGGAAAGCAACAGGGGGGAAAAGGGGTCATGCAAGCTTTAAACACACTAATGTGTTCCTCCTGGCAGTTACTGTTAACTGTTCAAGCAAAGCTGTATTGGCCTAAAATCATTAGTTTCTTTCCAAAAATGATAACTCAAATCAGACAATTTGTGTTTGAAACTACCAGATACACAAGAGCAACCTAGATATAACCAGCAACAGCACAGTCACTGTCAGTAGAATCAATTCAATTTTATGTCCACCTTCTTAATCTCTATGCAGTTCTTCACCGTCAATACTGAGCAAAGCTCAACTTGCATCCTTTTCAATATCAGTGTGCTTTTGTTGTTGTTGCTGCTGAAACTGTCCTTTAAATAATCTCTTGAGTGGCAAAAAGTCTGGTGTTATATACAAGTAAAGTGTATGTAAAGTGAAGCTTGGGACTAGGCCAGCCCAAGATCTGTTGATGCTTGAAGAGAAAGTCAAGACATAACACACCTGCTTTCTGAGTCTATCTCTGGAAAGTGACAGGACTGGCAGCTAAATCTTACTTCGAATATGGTGATGCATCTGCACCTGCTGCTGCTCTTGAAGTCATCGCTTATTTTTCAAGTTGCAAAACAAGCAGGCATAGAGCTGCTGCTGATGGTTGCTTTCTCCACAGCATCCCATATCTGCCGCCTAACGTGGCTCTCCAATCTGCCTAATGGTAGAGCTAGCAAATATCAAGGGAAGAGAGGTCACAAAGAAACTCTGTGCATTCTGCACACTGAAAGTCACTGCCTGCACCATGGCTGAAGGAATCCTGAAGTGAAGGCTAGGCCACCCCATTTTAGAGAAGGGCAAACAAACTAAAAAGGTGAAGGAATGAGACACTTGCATTTTTCTATGGGGCAAAGTCGAGATTTATTCCCACATCTTGGTGATCAGTCTGAAAAGTGACTCAGCTCAGTTTGTTACTGTGTTGCTGCTGATATCCTAGAGCAACAGAATCTCAGTTATGAATTTAGCAAAAGGAAAGAAGACTAACAAACTAGCAAAAGGTCTGGGATTTTTTTTTTGTATACAAATTAAGGTCCAATATGTTGTAAGAAATCCTGATGATGCAGTACCTATATATCTTGCTTTCTTTTTGTATGATTTTCCCCCTTGACAGTGGGGCCTGGACTACCACATATCCGTGTGGGGAGCAGGTTATAACTCTAGTGTGACAGTATCCCTAGGCAATGCTTTGGACCCCCACCTTTCTTCACCAGCACAAACAGCAGTCACTTATAGATGATGCATACATACATGGAAAACTGCTAAAATTGGAACTAAACCTACATACCAGTTATTGAAAACCAGCCTTAGTTCTATTCACATGGCTCAAAACCATTACCTGCTCATTCCATGCAAGTGTAGTTTTCTTAGTCACACTACAACATAAATGTGAATCCAAATAGCCCTGCGCCACTCTGTCACAGCCTCCTGCTCACTTTCACTGTTCCTGAGGTACACAGGGATGTTCTGAAGTGAAAAGTCTGTTATACACATGTTATGCTCTCTATGTTACCTCCTTTGCCCCATAATTAGGGTTTAATACTACTACCACTGGTGCTGGAGGAGACTCTTGAGAGTTCCCTGGACTGCAAAGAGAACAAACCTATTCATTTTGAAGGAAATCAGCTCTGAGTGCTCACTGGAAGGACAGGTCCTGAAGCTGAGGCTCCAATATTTTGGCCATCTCATGAGAAGAGAAGACTCCCTGGAAAAGACCCTGATGTTAGGAAAGTGTGAGGGCAAGAGGAGAAGGAGATGACAGAGGACGAGATGGTTGGATAGTGTCATCGAAGCTACCAACATGAATTTGACCCAACTCTGGGAGGCAGTGGAAGATAGGAGGGCCTGGCATGCTCTGGTCCATGGGGTCACAAAGAGTTGGACATGACTTCACAACTAAACAACAACAACAACTACCACTACTACCACCACCGCTACTACTAAAACCCTAAATGATCTTACATTTCATATGTCAGTGTTATTTTTGCAAAAATTTACTATGCTGACCTACTGACTATTGTACGTTTAAAGCCCTAAACGGTTTAGGGCCTCGATACTTGGCGGAACGCTTACTCCCACCCAGTTCTACCCATGTCACCCGGGCGAGTCAGGAGGTGAGGCTGAGGAGCCTGATGCCGGGGGAGGCCCGGAAGGAGAAAACAAGAAACCGGGCCTTCTCGGCGGTGGCTCCTCGCCTGTGGAACAAC